CATGAAGGTTCTTGGATTGGGGTAGTTCCTCCCCTTCTGTGAATTACTTCCTTGCCCAAAGCCGACCCTTTGCCCGATCCACGGTTCGCCTTTGTCCAAGTCCGAAGGATGGCCAGTGAGAGGGGGAACACCTTTCCAGTCGAAGCCGCACTCATTGGACCGGGCGTTATGGCTTAGCGTCAAGTTGGGATCCGCAACTTCCGCAACTTCGGGTTGGTATACCTCGCGCTGCACATGGGGTTTGATCAATATTCCTGGCCCCCAAATGACCATGGGTAACTTTTCAGATTGAATACACCCTATCATCTTTTTAGTGGCTTTGCCTTAATGGTCATGGCATGTAAAGGACCTTTTGATCAACCCCCACATAATGAGCTATAAATAACTTCCTTGTGGGAGACCACTCCCATGTCAACTAGGGGAGCCTTTGGCCTGCGAACTGCCAGCCAAAGCTGGAGCCCTTGGCCTGTTTTTCGGAGCAACCTGAAAAGCCAAAGCGGGACGGGGACCGACGAAAGCTCAGCCTTCTTTGCCCACATCGAATTAAAAGGTCAAAGAGATGAGACCTCTCTCAATCAAATCAGGGGCGTATAAATCCTGGCTGCTTCTGTCCTAAGAGCCCTGACAACCATTCCCTAAAAGATCAACTTTTAGTTAGAAGGGGTCAGCAATCTTGATCGCACCCAGATGTGCCTTGTTGGACCCCATTGCAGTCCTTTTGTTTGGCCTTGTGTCTCTTGGAGAAAAAAGAAATCAAGCATGGCAGACAAAGCATACCTTTGGGCTTACTATGGGTTTAATCTTACAAGAGTCAATGATGTGAGGATGCTCCGGGCTCAGCAAACGGTTTCAGACCCAGTCTGCCTATATAAGAAGTTGCAGGGTCCTTACAACGCTATTGCAACTCTTGTGCCGAGACAAACCTGTCATAGCGAGACATAACGTGTCGTAGGTTGCGTGTTCAACAACCTCACAACAAATGAGATGGTTTCTTTCATTGGCATCGAATGTTTTATTGGAGGCTGCTCTTGACCCCAATACAATTGACGGATTAAGAGGGGGGGATTCGCTGCGAACAGTGAACCGCATCCCTTCTCAAATGGTGAACCCGCGTGAAGTGACCATAGGCAATTCTTGGCTATCTGGTACGAGTCTGGGTAAGTCGTGGGGACCTCGCTGCTGGGATTTTGCAGCCCCGTGTAAGCGAGCTTGCCTTGGCCGGTTTTGAGTTCTGGTTGTCCTATTTCAAAAGCAACCGCCCTCAAAAGGGTTCCCTCAAACAACTTGCACCCATATGTGCATCTTTTTTGAGGGCACCCATTTTCGTTTGGTTTTACCGGGAAATCAAAGGACCCTTTTTGTTGTTGTCTTTTTTGGGGGGGTGGGGGGGGGTACCCCAATTCTGAGCCTCGCAGCCACCCATCAAACCCGGCAGGGCGCTGTGGTGCCGGCGGCCACCGACGACAAGCGCGTCTGCTTCGATCGCCAAAACGAGCCGCGCCAGGAGTTCAGCCCGGCCTTCAGGCCGCGGCAGGCGCCTGGGGCCGAAGAAAGCGCCGGGGCTCCTTAAAAGGGGCGGGCCCCCAGGAAATGGGTGGTGTTCCTTGTGTTTTCCCTGGTAAAACACCCCAAAATGGGAAAATGGGCTCCTTAAGAGATCTCCATTTTGCGTAACCATTTGAAGCATGTTGCTTTTTCAACACCAACATAAAAAGGGAAACAACACCATTTACAAGGCAATGTTCAGGTGTTGTTCATGTAAGGATCCCTGTTGAAAGACGAGGTCCGGGGAGAAACCAAGCGGGTCAGGTAGGTCCTTTACTTTCGGATCCCCTGTGTTTTCTGGTGTTGGACGTATTTTAAGAGTTGCAGATGTGTGTGTGTGTGTGCGCGTTTGTCTGTGTGGGTGCGTGTTTCTGAGAGTGCCGATTTTGGGTTTGGAGCCAAGGGAAACAAAAAGGAAGCTGGGGTGCCCCTATTTTGACACGGTCAAACGACCTCTTTGCTGGAGTTTACCACGGACATCCATTGTTATGATGTTCTCTTGGAATTTGACCATGACGCACTTGGGTTTGTCCCCTCATCTGCGCACCCTTCCGTTTAGCTTCCACTTGAATATACCCTTAATAGCCTTTTAACCTGTCGGCAACGGACTATTCCCTAGTGAATTGCAACAAACGAAAACTCGGTCTTGGGGTTGGTCATCAGGCCTAGATACGTTTCTTTCTGCAATCAGGTCATTTCTAAGTTGTTGTTTCGTCAAGCAACTCATGACCCAACCCTCCCCCCTTTAGGAGTTGACCATGACACATGGAGATAGTGGCTTCTCTTTGAGAGCACCTCTCCTCACGGTTTCACGATTCCCACGGGCCGAAAAGGCCTAGGCGTTGGCCTTTTCGGATGTGAGCAAGGAGCACCTTATTGCCGTCGTTGCGACGTCGATCCGGATGAATCTAACTTGAGGAGAAATGGGGAGCGTGTTTCCGCCAAACTTGCAGAGATAGCCCTTAACTCTTAACCGAGCCATTTGCTGTTGGCCAATCTGCTTGCCCGCCCCAGCCTCCGAACGACTAGACGCCCGTATCCCAATTGAGCAGCGACCAAAACCCTGGCCTTTAAACTCAGGGAGTTTATCCCTGTCTTACAAGGCGCAAGCATGTTGGTCTATACCCATCATGACTTTCTGCATCCCGTAGATTGTTTTTTGTCGAACCAACTGGAAATTGGTCTTCAGTAGCCCTTGGATTTTGGGCGCTGCTCTCAATTTTTCCAGGCATATGGCCAGGGCATTGAGAAGCACTTCTCATGCTGCGACTTTGGAGTGACTTGAACTCAAAGCTTCTTGGGTTCCGATGCCTTGGGAACATAGGAAAACGTGAGGCTGGGGTATGGGAGTTCTTTTCCAAGACCTGGATTCAAGTTGGCGGACCCAAGCATAATGTTGCCTCCTTTGCGGGCGAATCCTTTCCCGGGCAAGACCTTTCATATAACCAGAAACATGACGAGGGGCCCATAGCAATGGCCGAAACACAACTTTTCTTGGAGGAATGCTTCTTGCAAGCCTAGAAGGATTCCTCGGTCAAAGCGAGTCTTTTCTGAAGCTAAAGCTGGGGATTTTCAGTCCAACGGCAAATGTGCCCAGGCCAAAAGATCGCTTGGGATGGGGATGGTCGATCATAAGTTGCTTCTGTTGAAGGAACGCCCACGAAAGGAGCGCTTCCGCCACGGGTTTGATGTTCCGGCCGAAAGATTATCTTACCCGGGTGAGTGCTTTTGCCTTTTGCGAGCCGCGCCTCCTTTTTCATGCCTGGGTTCAGAGGTGTTCAGGACCCATTAGCGCAGGCCAAGAGCTCAACTTTGGTGCAATTTGCTTGGATGTTAGGACTTCAACTTTTTGCCAACTAATGGGTTTTCCATTAAACCACTAAAAGTTAAACTTTTAGCAGGGGAACAGAAAGCAACCGAGTCAACACTAGGGTCTTCTCAACTCCTTGTCAGTTCGGTTCTCTGCAGCAGCCAAAAGGACGGCTCCCGCATTGTGAGACTCACGGATTTGAGGAGCCCATCAGACTGTTCTAGTTTGGTTGCACCAGGTTTGCCAGCCGCTGTGACAGCGGCTTATGGAATTCGTTGTTTCCAAATCCTTCTGCACTTTAATATGCTTCGGCCGAAGACGATGCTGGTCCATCATTCATGCACGTGTTGACACAATTGTGACCCCTTTTCTTGGTCAGGCCGCTTTTAACGAGGCAGAGCATGCCAGTGTGCATCATTTGATTGGGCTGAAAGGCAATCCTCAATCCTTCTGTTGGGCTGCAAAAGATGATGGCCCTTTGAAGTGTTCTCCAAAAAGGAATCGTAGATTAAGCTTGGCTGGCCCCTCGATCTTGAACAATTGATTGCCGCTTCAAATCTGAAGCCCTGAGACGGAACCCCGGTGGCTATGTCATCAGGGGGTTCCCCCCATGAAGGAAGGCCTCCTTGAAAAGGGACCCTCAAAGAACCCACGTGATGCTGTCCACTTACCTTTGCCGAAGTCACTCGTGTTTCCTGTCCCACCAGTAGCTTATGAAGAAGGCTGGTAAGCCTGCAACTTCCATGTCGAGAAAAGGCACAAAGCATGAACTCACGTAGGTTCATGCAGAGGGTGCGAGGAGTAGAGATGCTTGATGTGGCCTCTGGGAGTTTTAGCTAACGCGAATTTTTGCTTGCTGTAAAACCAAGACATTCCTGCGTTGTGTGGGTGCCTGTCAGATGACCCTTGCACAGAATGGTTCAAGGGCCACAAGAAATGTCCGTTCACGGGCCACGCAACCCTTGAATCCTTAAGCAATCGTTTTTGCCCTTTTGCCCCTTGTCTCGTGGTGCCCATTTCATCACTCTCGCGCGCGACTGGCCCGGAGGGCCGAATTTCCCTCGGTTGGGTTTCCTCTGCATCGTTTTTCAGACCTGTCTGTAGCGTCCATTGCCGGACAAAACGGATCTTTTTGCTTTGCACTATTGCACCTTTGCCTTTGTGGGTTTCCTTCATCTCCCTTTTCAGTAGCAAGCAATCCACTTTTTTTGCAGGGGCTCGGATCCGACTGGCCAAGTTAACTCCGCCCAGTGAACTGTGGTCCAAGGCCATCGCTGTGCAGAATACCCAGAAGAAGTCTGAGCCGCCCATGTCTCCTTTGTGGCTCTTCTGCGCTGGCCCCTCCCTAGAGCGGGCGCGGCCCCTCATCAACGGCCTCCGCAAGTCGAACATGGAGGCGCTGGTGCGCTGGTGGGTGGGAGGCTGGGTCTACGCGTGCAGCGGAACCAAGAGCAGATTATTATTTTTGTTTCAGACCTCCCTATTCAACGCCCAACGCTTGCCAACGGTAGACTGGTTGTAGACTTTGACGCCTTGTTGAAGCAACATGTGTTTTGGTGGCTCCCAACCATCCCCTTGGCTTTTTAGGCTTTTGGGGTTTAGTGGTAGTTTCCATTTAACCCACTAAAAGTAACTCCAAGCACTGTTGGACCTGCATTTTGGTTGGGGGTTGGAAGTTATCACTTTGGACCAGAGTACCCGAGACCCAGGCCAAAGCCTTTCTGTGCAGAAAGGGACGCTGCAAGCGTTGTGTCTTTGCATAGACCTGTTTTTGGCGGGTGACAAGCATTAAAGCCAGAAAAACAAATTGAACCACGTATTCTGGCACAATGTCCTGGAACCACAATGCCCGTAGAAGCAACACCAATAAATCCTCGAGCGAGACAAGAGAGATTCTGGCCGAATATTCTGGAACCATGTTCCGATTCTCCCAGCATTTTTTCCCAGCTTGTTTCCCGGTTTCGACGTGGTTTGGTCTGTTTCTATAATGTGAGTGGCATGTCCCCCCAGCACATGCCTGATGTGTTCAGTATTTATTTCATTTGTTTCAAGTACACCCCAAGTATACTTCCATAATGGTTCTGTAGGTTCCTAAATATGCCTGGTGTACACTGCCTATGCCAGCTATGCCAATATGTGTAGACATAGAAAGTTCATCGTTGATATGTTTTTGCTATGCCTAACTTGCATCTAGAATATGTCTAGTTTGCATAGAGCATGTGCCCAACATTTGTCTAACATGTTTCAAGAAAAACAAAACACTAATAATAGAGCATAACCAGTATGTCAGGTATTTGCATTATAAACATTTCTAAACATGAACACGCGACTACTTCAATCCTTTCAGCTTGTTTCTTGCATGTTCAGCATAGTTCTAGCGTGTATCTAACTTATTTCTCAACCATACTTAGATTGCGTCTAGCGGTTTGAAGGCATCTATATAAGAGTCTAGCACAAACCCAATATGTTTCCATATTGTGCTTGACATTACTTCTAGCACATGCTTGATGTAATCAGCATGATTTCAGTTGTTTCAAGTAGGTGCTGTATTAAGTATGCATCCAGCGCTCTTTCACCAGAGTAACATATTCTTGCACGGCTGCAGTTCGTTTGCGTTTTTGGCATTCTGAACCATTCTGAACTGCACAAATCCCAATGAACAAATCCTCGATCAAGTCCACAAACACCAATCCTGAAAAATCCCAATGACACCAATCCCAACGCGGCCATCACCCCGAGTCTTTTTTGGATCAAGCAGGTCTGGAGTTGTCGAACCGCCTGAAGGGCCGAACGGAACCAGAGGACCGAAGGTAATGAACAACAAAGCCGGCCTTTTTTTGGGGTTCCCAACCCGGGAACCAGGCTGCTTAGTGCATGTTGAGACATGAAAACGGCGATTGACTTGCTCAAGGCTGTCAGGTGTTCGCCTCAAATGTTCCAATGCAGTTGTTAGTGTTTGTTGCTTCTTTGGCTCTGTTTTGCTTTTGGAGTTCAGTGGGGTCACTGCAACGCCTTGTGTTTGTCCGACATATCGTGCGTTGGGAAGGGCATTTTTCGGGGGAGAGCTATGCATAGGGTGAAAACGGCTGCGGACCGGATGCTTACCATCATGCTCCAGGCCCAATGTTTCTGTGTAAGTAGCAGAGTCGCATGTGTCACGCCATGGAAGCACTTTTGTGCATTTTGCTTGGATGTTAGGAGTTTAACTCTTTGCCAACTAATGGGTTTTCCATTAAACCACTAAAAGTTAAACTTTTAGCAGGGGAGCAGAAAGCAACCAAGTGAAAGACTTTATTCACCGTTTTGCCCTTCTGTCCTTTTGGGTTCCTTCATTTATCCCCGGTCTTAACCAGCAGCACAAAACAACTTTGGCAGGGCGCGAAGTCTGGCTATGCCAAACTTTTCATTTTTTGGCGAGATGAAACTTGTGGTCGACACAAGCATGCGGCCCAAGCAAGGGCATGATACAAAGCAAGCCAGGCAGAGTGTGTGTCCTGGGCAAGAAATGCTGGACTCAGAATGCTGGTTTGCCCTTGAACAGCCGAACTAGAGAAGGGTTCTTTGACTGTTCTTCACATTTTCTTTCTATTGTTTGCTCCTTTGGCTCGTGTATTTTATAAGTGGGGGCTGAGAGAAGAACAACTTTACATACCAAGAGGTGGGAAGGTTCCCCAAAATCAAGTCGCAGCCTCTGACTGAGGTGCTCGTGAGGACCGATGACCACCTGAAGTCAGAGAATCCACCCATCAAGAGCGGCGACTTTGTACTGGCCGCCCGGCATGTGAACTTGGCTTCGGGAAGAAACTGCAAAAGCAACCTCGAGTTTCCTGTGCTTAGCCGCTGAACATTCTTGAACAAAGACATGGGAGGTGGAACACAGCAAGCTGCCCATCGCAGAACGGCTGATTTTCACAACCCTGCGCTGACTTAGATCTGTGTTCATTCGCACCCTTGATCCGAACTGGCCACGAACAGATCGGCAGACATGAAATCCACTCCACCTTGTGCTCCTGCTTCCCTTCGCAGGACCCTTTTTGAGGCTCCATGCGGACTTTCACTGCAGTGCTTTCAGGCAGATACTTGATTTGATTTCGGGCGAGAAGCTTGTGCAGTACTAGCAGGCTCGCATATCCACACGCTTTCAAACTCACTCAGCCATATGGCCATGCGACAACACGAGCCTCAAGATGGACGCAGTGAGACATACAACGCTCACCAACGAAGGTGGCGGCGGGTTTGGTTTCCAAAGTTGCACGAAAGTCGGAGGGGCGGGGATCTGTTCCAGGGGAAAAACCACTGGACAATTTGCGCCTATACCCTTCATGAGCTCATTCTGCATTTGGGCTGGTATTTTGAAAGGTGCGCCTTCTGAGTGCGTCTCAGTGCGTGGTTGCGACCTTTGATTTTGTGGATGAACCGACAGGACTTGAGCAGATTTGAAACTCGGAGTCTAGTTGCACCTCAGATGGCGTTGCCTTTTTAATGGGCTTCAAGGCATCCCAAAGGAAAACCGCCCATTATTGGAGCTCCCGTTTAGAGAGAGAGATACCCAGGAAGTGGTGTTCCTTAGGCGACACTTGATATTTTGGCTTTTTGGCAACACAAGAGGACCACTTTTGGATGGTTTTAAAGGTAGCGGTAGACCCCAAGGAATCACCATCTTTTTCCGGGCTACCGACACAAGGCCAAGGTAGCCATTGGTTTTCCCAAGCCAACAGAAAACTAGAAGGCCAAGAAGAGAAGCCGACAGGCCAAGCAATGGGTTCGAGTGGAGAAAAACTTGCTGGGCGCATGCTCGCAGGGCCCTTCCGAGGTGCTCTGGTCCCAGTTCTTCACCGGTCCTCACGGGGAGCGTTTGGCAGAGATCTGTGATGCTGCGGGCAAGATGCAGGTGACTGGGGTCGGATGTCGAAGGTGAATCGGGCTTTTGGGTTGCCGGCCTTTTGGGTTTTCTTTTGATCTCCTTTCGGCGGTGGATTTCTTTTGGTTCGATTTCGGCCTACGGACTTCTGTGGTTTCGGCCTCGCGCAGATTGAAGCTCTCCTCTGGTGGTTTGATTTGATTTACCACTTGGTTACACCGACTCCAGGTATCAAGCGCTCGTAAGCTGCTGATCCTTTTGACCGGGACTTCCTTTCGGGAAACTGGCCTCATGTTGAGGTATGTTTTTGCTTGAGCTACGTTGACGTGTTTAAGTCTTGTCTGGGGAACTGAAAGGAAGCCCACCAATTTTGGGGTCCAACCCGTTGGTTGCCTTCCATCAAACCCGAGCGGATGCCGTTTTTTGCTGCAGATTCCACCGTTCCCCCCATTCCCAAGGATCCCTTCGGATCGTCGATCCGTGCCAAAAAGGAACAGACGTGGACATTTGCTGGACCACGCTTCGAGTATGCCAGGACATCGAGGGAACCCACTGACAATCAAAAGGCGGTGCACGATTTGGACCCTGCTTGTCAAAACCAGTTGGACCCTTCCGGTTTCTGAACCCCGTCCCAAGGAGACCCACCACTGCGAAGTCGGCATCGTTTTGCTGGCCCTTGCCCTTTCGACTCATACCGTTTCTTTTTTTGGGGGAGGGTTCCCCTTCTAAGATAGACTACAGAAAAAACAGTTGGTACCAACTTATTCTAAGCTCTCAAATTTGTAGGACCTAGATACCCTGCCATGGGCCGTGTTGTTTTTTGTACCCGCACGAGGGAACTGCCCATGGCGGTTTTGTGGAGTAAGGGCAGGCCGCAAGGGATGCCCAGGGTGCTGAGCAAATCAAGTTACGACCTGGCACAATATGGGTGTGGCTCAAAATTAAACGATCGGAGGGGGAAACCGCAGGTTTTGGTACCCATGTTTCCACTTACCAGGGCAAGCCATTTTGGAATTCCGGTTTTTCGAGCCACACCCATATACCCGGGGTTTACAGCCTCACGAGTGAAGAATCTTTGCTTGGTGTCCGTTTCTTACTTTCCTGTGCCAGGCCCTCTGTTGTGTCCAAACCCCCACGTACTGTCGTCAGCGCGCTGGTGGATGAATTGTTTTGATTCCCTCAGATACATTTCTAGAACGCTGCTCGCACCCGGCATTCCCTGTGTTTGGAAAGACCAATATGGTGGTGGCTCTGGCATACCGCCGGGCACAGTGGCCCCCAGAAATTCGGGAGGCCCGTGTCTTGAACGACATCCGGAAGCTTCAGGATATGCAGGCCAGCGGGACGCCGGCTTTTTACGCCCGAGAATCCACCCGCTCACTTGGGTGGGTTTGGGGTTGAATGGAGCTCCGTTTGGGACGGGGCTTCAGGCATGAACCGTGGGGTTGTGTTGGGACTAGCATGTTCGTCTGCCCAAACTGATTTTTCCCATGTCCAGAACACTAAACACACTCCAGTGAGGGTGCTGGAAGATGCTTTCGTCTGTCAAACGGGGGGACCACCCGAATGAACTAGCAACAAAGAATTGTCCGTTGTGCTTATGAGCCTGAGTCCATATTCAGATCTTAATGCAGTTTGGGGAATGTACTCAACTTAGTTCCCTTGACGACAGGGGATTCGGCAGTATCTTGTGTTTGCTGCAAAGCGGGTCGATTCGGACCCAACGAGGATCAGTCAAAGACCTGCTTACGGCATGAGCCCCCATCTCAGCTTTCTTCCTTGTTGGCACAAGGCTCATGCTTGGTGACAAGAGACATGCCAGATTAAATGTGCCTTTGAAATGGACCCTTAGCTGATTGACCCTCAGCTGATGGCAGTCATGCCGTCCAGTCAGTAAGCAATCTTTACCCCTTGCATACCCTTGACGTTTCTCCCGAGAAGTCATCATCTTGGCTCTTTGGTTTGGTCTGTCACCCCTTCGGGGCACCAAAAAAACGCCGCCGACAACAGAGTTTCCTTCATCTGGGCGTGGGTCAAAAATGGGTACCGCAAATGGGTTGCCCTAGGAAATGGAAACAAGGACTAAAACCGGCGGTCCATATCCTGGTGGCTCAATTTTGACCCGTACCCATCTCTTTCCGTCGGACAGCTGCACCAGCTCCAAGCCAGGACCGGCGATGGCTCCTCAGGAAGCTCCAGGAGAGGCAGTGCTTAGTCGATGGCTGTGACATGGCTGTGGTGGTCAAAGCCGTTTTGGGATCCCATTTTGGTTGGTAGGTGAATTCGCCACGCGTTTTAGAACCTATAGTGGTTGGATTGAATCGGATGTTCACTGAGGGTTTTTGTATTCCACCCTCGGATTACACCCTTGGGAACTGACCCCTGGAATGGTTCAAAATAACACGGTTTTATCAGGACATGTGCCTAAATGGGGTCAATACCCAGTGGGTGTATTCCCAGGGTGTAATACAAACCCCCTTAGTAGGAAACGCCACACTTAGGCATCCCAGACAAACTCACCTTTTGGATTTCGGGGTTTGGATGGGGTGAGCACTGCGAAAACGGCACGAAATGGAAGGCTTCTATTTAGTCCTCATCAGCCCAATGGGGGATTCATCCACTTTGAAGATCTGGTTCTCGCCATACACCTACCTCCTGCCATTTGTTTGTTCGGTGATTTCCAGAACATCACCCAGGGCGAATGGTTCCACAGAGCAGGATTGCCATTTTTCCACCCACGGGATCCCCCGGTGGCCTTCCCTTCAGCTCCGAGTTTGACTAGGTCCCCCAGCTAGGTGCCCCTTTTAAGCGTTTTTTTTGGTGGGGAGCGTTCCCCTACTCAAATATAAAGACCGGGAAAAAATCGGTTACCAACTTATTCTCAAGTCTGGAGGACCCAGTTGAGGTGGGACCTCTGCGCCGCCCGCCCTCCGCCGTTGCGCCGGCCGCGCCGGCCGCGCCGGCCGCGCGCTCCAGGACCACAGTTTGCCCACCCCCGGCTTCGTGGAGTGCTCGCGCCGGGGGGCCCAAGGGGCCCAAGGGAGGCAAAGGCGAAGGTGCGGCTGCGACTGGTTCTCTCGCAGGTGTAAGCGTGAGGGATGGGAGGGATGGGTGGAGTTTGGAGACGAACTTTTGGGTGGGAGGGGGAGCCTCGTTTTTTCTTTTTGGTGGGTTTCGAAAGGACCGACGCTTTTTGGGTCTTGGCGCCCGTTTCGGGGGCCCAGGCTTTTGGGAGGGGTCCATCGATTTTTGCGTTTGGACCTGCAAGAGAGGCAGTTCCATGTGCAGCCGAATGCTCGCAGGTGGCCATGGTGGGTAGAACCGGAAGGGTTACCTTCGATGTGTTTGCCGAGCCCAAGGAGCTCCCTTAAAGGGAACTCCAGTGACCTGGCGACTAGGAATGGTCAAAGATGGTTTGTTTAGTTCTGCTTTCGGTGAAGGGGACCCACTCGCCCGCAGATTAACATGGACTCTAAAGAATCATGAACTCCCAAAGATGAGCCTTTTTTGGTTTCATTTGCAGGCGGAGGAGACTGCTCCTATGGTGAGATCGATTTCGGGTACATAGCTCTCATACCTGGCTTTGCACAACTATGAGGAGCTTCTGGTGGACAGAGGGGTTTGCCGAGGTGGCGGAGGAAACGACGTTCCTGACACCCTCATCGAGGAGTGGTGCACCTGCACCTGCTCGCGTGTCGCGGTCGTGAGATCGAGAGAGGTGATTCTAATGACTCAGCGCTTGCGGTTGTTTGGCCCAACTAAACAATGAATCACAAAGGAAACCCGGGTCTGAGGTTTTCAAGCAAACAAGGAAACCTGGGGTTTCAAAAGGAAAAGCATGCACAAAGCTGAGGTTTCAAAAGGAAACCTGGGTCCCGCCATGTTTATCAGTTCACTTCCGTGTTTGGACGACTATTGGCATGGGGCTTGGTCTGAGATTACAAGCGCGCGGGGCACGCTTGCCAACCCGTCATTTGGTCTGAGTCACTCAGAGCTTGCACGTGGGTTTCCTGAGATGCGGAAGTTTGAGCATGCATTGCTTCCAGCTGCGTTTCCCTTTGGGACCCTCCAACAGAAGTACCCCCATACGTTTTGTATGATGGAGACAATCACGGCTTCCCTGCATGTGGCATTTGGTCGAATGGGTACGTGCCGAAATACGGGGACAACAATAGTGAAAGTGTTCTTTTTGGGTGTCCTTTAAACCAAGCTGAACAGGGTTCCCTGAAGAACACTCACACACTCAAACCACGGTGGCAGGGAGTCCTGTTCGCTCCCACCACACAGATCATTGGTGGCTTACAACTGAATGGATTGATTCATTCCTGTCGCTCTTTCCGCAGCAAAGCCTTACTATTTTGGCAGTCAGTGTTGGCGGCGCCCCTTGTTGCAATGCCAGGGTGGATCTTCCTTCCATGCAGGCTTGCAGGACATGCCATTATCTCAAAACCGCTCAGGTGCAGTTCCCTGATATCAAAGGATTTTGGTTTATGAGTTACGACTGACCATTCTGTTTGAATAGCATGCAAGCCCAAGGAGTATCCCCAGCCACTCCCGGAACCTGCCTGGAACCCTCTGGTTTGCTTTTTTTGCGCAGAGTCAGCCAAAGAATCAATGTTTGTGCATACCTTGTGCCAATACAGCAAATCTTGCATGCAGTCTAACTTGCCAAGTAGCTGTTGTATGCCATTGTCCTTGGCCCACTTTGTCTTCTAGATCAACTTTCAAATCTACATTCAGTTGTTGGAAGTCTGTGTTCTGAACCGACAGCTTGTCGTGCTCTGTGGTGAGCATGTGTTCCTAAAGCTGCATTTGACCAGCGCACGCCGCACGCCCAGCGGGACCACGGTGAAAGCCCTTGAAAGGGAATCCCAAAGGTTGTTCAAACAAAGGTTTAGCGTGGTAACGGGTTGAATCGCCCAACCCTGGAATTGGCCCATTTCCGATAGGAACACGAGGACTACATCGTGGCCCTGAGCTTAGCGGCTTTTCTTTCGGCTGAATGTGTATGTGTGTGTGTGCACGTGTGATTGTTTTTTGAGGGTACCCTTGCTTAAGTGTAAAGGGGAACCTAGGGGCATCACCATCTTTGGGGTCCCCTCCAATTTGATTGAGACACCGCCAACTGCGGTATCTCATTGGTCGGTAGAGCCCAACATCAAGGGCTTCGGGCGCTGCTCACATGCTGTGACTCATGTGTTACCACAAAGCACCATGCCACGAGAGCCAAGCTTTGGTCATGGAATTTGGTCCATGTTGAATTCCGAGGTTCCTCCAGATGTCACGCAGAAAATCCTCCTTACCCACCTTTTTCCGCTTTTTTCTTCTCCTTCTTGTTGCGTTCCTTTCTTCCGGTATGGTCGACCGGATGGGACTTTTGCTGCCCAGGTGGACGCCCGCAGGATCAACAAGCCCTTCGTGGAGAAGCCGGTGGACCGCCGGGACCGCGATATCTACGCCGAGACCTCAGGGCTTGGGCCGTTGAGATGCATCCTCGAAACCCAGCTGGACCTAGTGAACGGCTGCTATAGTAAACTATTGGCCCACTGGGGTGCACAGAACATAACCATGTTCTGAACCTGCTCCAATTCTATTCCCTAAGAATACCCACCTGGAAAACCCCTGCGATGAGTCGATTTTTTTCCCTGCAGCCAACCAAGAATGGTGGTCGACCATGGTTTCAAAGTGGTGGACCCTGGAATGATGATTTCCCTGCAACACCAACAGTGGATTAACCAAGAATGGTTTCAAGCATGGTTTCAAAGTGGTGCAGGATGTTGTCCATCCTCGGTAGGGCTGCAACAAAAGCGCCATAGGGGAACTCGGAACTCCCAAGACCGGACAGAACACAACGGTGGGGCTTGGACTTTTTTGGAATTGGATCGTTGGACATTCGAAATAGCATGAGTGCAGCCAAGCTTTATTATTATTATTATTATGATTTCTTATTATTGTTATTTTTGTTTTTTGAATACTCAGATTTGCAACCCTTTTTGAAGGGACATACTCAACGTATGGGCAAGGATAGTTGAGCGTCCTTCTCGTCCAAGGGTTTTGGCCCAGTGGGACTTGGTGCATCGATTCCTCACTCCAGCAAACTTGCAAGTGATACCCAGAATTGCTAATGTGGAAATACCCTCCCGTCCGCAAGACTAGTTTCCTTCAGAAGGGACCCTTCCAGTAACATGGACAGGAGGGTCGTTTTTCGTGTTCGCCTCCAGCTGACGGCGCCGGTGACGGAAGGGTGTCGGGCCATCGTCAGGTCTACTACCCCCGAGCCTCAGGGGGGGGTCGAGCCCTGCTCTCCACGAGGCGAGAGGGATTTGGCTGAGATGCTGGGAACGAAGCAAATGGATCGTTTCTGGCGGGTCCAACCGAAAGAAACGGATGCCCAAACCAGGGGGGGTTCCTTTCGGTTGCCCTTTTGATGCTACAATGACGGCAACAAAGTGACACACCCGCATTCATCCAAAATGGATTTTATAAGGGCCGAGCAAGGGTCCGTTGGCGCCAACAGTCAATCAAGCTTTGGGCTCCCAACAGTCATCTGGGTTCTGCTAGTTTGGCTACTGAATGGCCAGTAACTTCTTGGGTCCGCTAGGAGGCCCCAAGGAACAACTCATGATCCCTTTGAAAGGACATGTTCCATTTGGTGTCGACCCCGGATTTTTCCAAGCCCCTGTAAATCAAGTTCCTAGTGTTCCCCTCCAAAAGTGATGAATCCCCACTACCACCAGCAACACTCCCATACTCATAAACAGGGGTTTATTCATCCGGGGTCAGCATCTCTGCCACATGCTCCTTTATTTGTTTGCTGAATGGCCAGTAGCTTTTTAGGTCCCATAGGAAGCCCCAAGGAACAACTCTGAGACCCTGAAAGGAACATTCCCTCTGCTGTCGTCTTGCTTTTTGGTCTCGCCGCGAACCGCCCAAAGCGAGCGAAGCCGCGGCAGGGAGTCGGGGGACGTGGAGTACGTGTGCCGCTTCGAGCCCCAGGGCCGCATCCGCAAGGAGGGCTCCTTCATCTACCAGGCCGAGCCGGCCGAATTTTTCCGGCCGAGAACTCGAAGCCGAAGCCGCAGCCGGAGGCGCATTCGATGGAATTCGGGTCCGGGCCAGCGACTTCGGGACCGTTTTTGGGTATGTTGGGGTCATGTAAGGAGGGCAATTTGTTTTATGAATTTGTTGCGTTTAGGGGTCATGTAGTCCTTGGTTCATGAACTGATCTGGGGTCGACGTCCCAGTCCCGCGTTTGGGTTACATTCTTTCCTTCAGTCGTCGCGTGTATGGCGCGCTGAGATATTGCACAGATCGCGGGTGAGCTTCGAAGACAGAAGTGGGATTCGACCAGATTCAGCCACATCCCTGTTACAACAACGACCAAAAACAACTAAACCTAGACAGCAATCAAACACAACCAGAAGCACACCCAGACAAACACGCACACTTAAATCACGTCAACGAGGGTTACCTACTACAGTCGCTTGCCGGGAAGATCTGCAGCCAAAATCAACAGTGGATCAACATGCTTCAACAGCCGGTCCCTGGTCCGGAACCAAAAGGAGGCCGAATTCATGGTGACTGAAGCTTCCGGGGTTGAATCGCCATGCCAAAGACCTCCCCCTGCTTTTGGGGGTGGATTTCAACCCCTTTCAGCGACCATTTGACCGCCAAGTTTTGGGAATGCGGCTAAGTTGGTCCAGCGTCCCCCAGGAGTATCTTCAGAGCGAGGGCTTTGTCATCCAGGTGGTTTGCGTCGGCGGTCTGGGGCCTAAGCGGTGAGCGAAAAGGGGCTCATAGGGAGAGGCGTGCGAATGGCGACGCAGGCTTTTTGAACCCAACATCCCTCTTCAGATTGGAACCCAAACAGTGGGCCCCTCACTGTAGCAGGGGCATACTCAAGTCATATTGAGGTTTTTTCTTGCGACTTTCAAAGGATCGTTCTTGTCGCTTCGATTTGCGTCCTTGTCGCTTGGTCCCAAGCCCTGAGCTTTTATGTTCAGCCTGAGAGCGTCTATCCGTGGGGGGATTATTATTAGGATCTATTCCCTCGGAAGGGTTGAATGCGTTTTCGACAGTCATCATTCTGCAGTTTTTTGAGACTGACGACACAGACAAGGTCCAAAGAGACCCATTTTCTGATGCCAGGCTGGGTTCATGGTGGGCAATGTATGGGCGCTTTCAAACATCGGGAAGCCCTAGACTGGTTGGTTGTCCCGTGGTCTAGGTTATGGATTTAGCTTGGCGAGCGGAGGAATTCGCGAGCCTCCTTGTCTCGATGGGTGGTAAATCCTTGCTGGTAGAAAATCGGAAGAGGTATGGAGGTGTCTGAAGATGGGTACCTTTGTTGGTTGATTCACTTGGAGACAAGTCCTATTTGGAGAGACCTCTTGCCGTGTGATTCCACACCCCTGTGAATTGGGAATTGAGAGTGCTTGCATCGAACAGGTTGTTTTTAACGCCTCCGGCTCAGGCCGCCGACATTACAGGCCTGCTTTCTTAATTGCGTCCCTTTGGAATTGTCCCCTTGCCATCCTTCCCCTCTAAGATCTTTCCCCCACCCTTCCCCCCCCTCATAATATCTTTTCCCCCCCTTCCCCCCCTCAAATCTTTTCCACCCTTTCCCCCCTAACCCTCCTAGCATCTGTTCCACTCTTTCTCCTCCCAAGATCCTCTCCCCCTCTCCCCACCCCCTTATAAGATCTTTCCCCCCTTTTCCCCTCCTAAGATCTGTTCCCCCCCCTTTTCCCCCGTAAGACCCCCCTCCCCCACTCATAAGATCTTTTCCCCCCTTTCACCCCCTAAGATTTTCCCACCTTCTTCCCCTAAGATCTTTTCCCCCTGAGATCTCCCCCCCTTCCCCAAAATCTTTTCCCTGCTTCGTCCTCCTAACATTTCTTCCCCCCTTCCCCCTCTCCCCAGCTAAGATCTTTGCTCCCCCCCTGCTCCCCCCCCCTGCTCGCCCCCCCCTGCTCGCCCCCCCTGCTCGCCCCCCCTGCTCCCCCCTGCTCACCCCCCTGCTCCCCCCTTCTCGCTCCTCCCTGCTCGGCCCCCCCTGCTCCCCCCCCCAGAATATCTTTGCCCCCCCCTTTCCCCCCTTCCGCCCTTCCCCTCAAAGATCTTTCCCCCCTTCCCCCCTTGTAAGATCTTTTCCCCTTTTCACCCCCTAAGATCGTTCCCCCTTCCCGCCCCCCCTCCCCCTCCCCCAAGATCTTTCCCCCCTTCCCCCCCCTTTCACCACCCCCTAAGATCCCGCCTTTTCCCACCCTAAGATCTTTCCCACCCTTTCCCCCCCTAACATCTTCTCCCCCCCCCCCCTCCTGTGAAGATCTTTTCCTCCCCTTTCTCCTCTTAACATATCTTTCCCCCTTTCTCCCTAACCCTCTTATAAGATCTTTTTCTTTGCCCTCCTAAGATCTCCCTTTTCCCCCTGAAGATCGTTTCCACCCCCCTAAGATCGTTTCACCTTTCCCGCCCGAAGATCCTCCCCTTTTCCCCCCTAAGATCTTTGCCCCCCTTCTGCCCTCCCCCCCTCCCCCTCCCTTAAAGATCTTTTGCCTGCTTCGTCCTCCTAAGATCTCTTCCCCCCTTTCCCCCTCTCCCCATCTTTTCCCCCCTTCACCCCGTTGTAAGATCTTTTCCTTTGCCCCCCTTTGCCCTCTAAGATCTTCCCCCCCCCCCCGACACTCTCCCCGCCCCTAAGATCTTTTCCTTTTCCCCCCACTCCGATCTTCTCCCCAGTTCCCCTTTCCCCCCTTAAGATCTTCATTTTCCTTCACTTTCCTGCACTTCCCTTCGCGCCCCTTTGTCATGTCATTCATTTCTATGCAGTTTCCTTCATTTCCAGATTTTCCCTCACCAGCATGGGCAACATCCCACAGCACCACTTGCATCATCCGCATCCTTGGCAGGCGCTGACGCGGATGATGCAGGTGATGCTGGTGGTGATGCTGGCGAAGGATGCAAAAAGCGGACTTGGGAGGAATCGCACACCCCAATGTGTTGACGCAACTGTAAAGGATCGCGGAGCGTCTTGGAACCACCAGGAGCGGTAAGTAAAGAGGTAAGGAGCAAGACACTTGTTACCCATGCCCTCACCCCGTGGATTCTCAACGGGTCGGCTCCTGCATCCTTAGCATCTCCTGGTCATCACCAGCATCACTTGCATCATCCGCATCAGCGCCTGCCAAGGATGAGGATGATGCATGTGTTGCTGGAGATGTTACCCATGCTGGTGAAGGAAAATCTAATGAAGAAAATGCATGGAAATGAATGGGAAAAGGACAAAAACGGACAGAAAGGAAGAACAGGGAAAGGGGGGAGGAAAAGGAAGATCTCAGGAAGGAAAAGGCCTTGGGGGGGAAGGGGAAAGGATCTCAACGGGGAACAGGGGGGAAAAGGGGACATCTTAGAAGGAAAAGGGAGAAGATCTCGGGGGGAAAAGGGAAAGGGGGGAAAGGATCTCAACAGGGAAAGGGGGGAACAGATCTTGGGGAGAAGATTTCACGGGGGGACGGGGCTAAAAAGATCTTAGAGGGGAAGGGGCAAGGGGACAATTCCAAAGGGACGCAAATAAGAAAGCAGGCCTGTAATGTCGGTGGCCAAGCCGGAGGCGTTAAAATTTGCATGAGACTAACCATTCCCAAACCTTCCCTGTTTGAGACATAGCCGCACCATGGGTATGACACAAAAATAGTGACCCTCCCAAATGATCGATGTCATGTTGGTGTCCCTTGAAAAGCCGTCCCGCAACTTTTTTGAGACACTCGAGGAGCGGGAAAGTCATCTTGGGGGTCCAGGGGATCTCGGGGTCATGGTAAGTTGTTTGCCCGAGGCAACTCCTACGGCAATGCAGTGCTTTCCGGCGTGGTCTCACGGCAGGGGGCCCAAGCACAGGGTAGGGAAAGGACAACATTTGCGATCTTATTATGCTAGAATTGTCAATATATAGTTTCTCTTTCTTTCTTTCTTTCTTTCTTTCTTTCTTTCTTTCTTTCTTTCTTTGTTTCTTTGTTTCTTTGTTTCTTTCTTTCTTTCTTTCTTTCTTTCTTTGTTTCTTTCTTTCTTTCTTTCTTTCTTTCTTTCTTTCTTTCTTTCTTTCTTCTTTCTTTCTTTTTTCCCCAAACAGCGAAGCATTGGGGTTCTAACTTGAGGTATAGAGAATGGGAAAGTGTGACGCCGGTTCCGGGGTCCTGTTTTCCGCTTGTCTTCCTGTCTCCCAGTCTCTCCGGCAGATGCTGTAACGCTGACTCCAGGGTCGTGTCTCCCGCCTATCTCCCTGTGTCTCTCGTGTTTCCTGCTTGTCTCCCTGTGTCTCCCAGTCTCTGCGGTCACAGGCCAGATGCTGTGACGCTGGCTCCGGGGTCGTGTCTCCCGCTTGTCTCCCTGTGTCGCTGTCTCCTTGTGCCTCCCAGTCTCTGAGGTCAGATGCCAGATGCTGTGACGCCGGCTCCGGGGTCGTGTCTCCCACTTGTCTCCCTGTGTCTGCCAGTCTCTGCGGTCGGATGCCAGATGCTGTGACGCTGGCTCCGGGGTCGTGTCCGCTTTGTGTTTGGATGCCAGATGCTGTGACGCTGGCTCGGGCGTCGTGTCTCCCGCTTGTCGTTTGTCTCCCAGTCTCTGCGGTCGGATGCTGTGACGCTGGCTCCGGGGTCGTGTCTCCTGCTTTGCTTGTCTCCCTGTGTCTGGATGCCAGACCGGGGTCGTGTCTCCCGCTTGTCTCCCTGTGTCTCCCATCTCCCGCTTGTCTCCATGCCAGATAGATGCTGTGACGCCGGCTCCTGGTCGTGTCTCCCGCTTGTCCCTTTCCCTCGCAGTCTCGTCAGTCTCTGCAGTCAGATGCCAGATGCTGTGACGCTGGATCCGGGGCTTGTCTCCCTGTGTCTCGCAATCTCTGCAATGCTGTGACGCTCCCCAGTTACCTTGGCTTTTTGAGCCGAGATGTCCTCGGCCACTTGCGCTCGTTGGCCCCCGTAAAGCCGTGAAAACCCGGCCGAACGGCCGTGATAACTCGTGCGGGAAACTGAAAGGCCGTTACTACTCCGTGAAAAAGCCTGGAAAACTCGTGAAATTTCACGCTCTGAGTTATCTTGTCCTCACGACACCAACAACCTTCTTAGCCCATACGGCCTAAGTAACTCGCGAATCAGATGTCTCCCAGTTTCTGCGGTTCTCCTGTGTCTCCCAGTCTCTGTGGTCGGATGCCAGATGCTGTAATGCCGGCTCCGTCTCCCAGTCTCGTCAGTCTTTGCGGTCGGATGCTAGATGCTGTGACGCCGGATGCCAGATGCTTGTCGCTTGTCTCCCCAGTCTCTGCGGTCGGATGCCAGATGCTGTGACGCTGGCTCCGGGGTTGTGTGATGCTGTGACGCTAGCTCCGGGGTTGTGTCTCCCGCTTGTGTCCCTGTGTCTCGCAGTCTCTGCGATGCTGTGACGCTGGCTCCGGGGTTGTGTCTCCCGCGTGTCCCCCTGTGTCTCCAGTGACGCCGACTCCTCCTGTTCCCTGTGTCCCCCAGTCTCTGCAGTCAGATGCCAGATGCTGTGACGCCGCTTGCCTCCCCAGTCTTGTCTCCCTGTGTCTCACGCTTGTCTCTCGGTGTCTGGATGCCAGATGCTTCCCGCTTCTCTCCCTGTGTCTCCCGAGAGTCCCGGGCAAAACCAACTGAAGCTGCTTCTTCTTTGCGAGTTTTGGGGCTGACCTGACCTTGCTTGCAGCCACCTGGCCGGTTTTTAATGCTTACAGCCCTCAACAGGAAAAATGAAGGTCCCGGGTTCCGGGCAAAACCAACTGAAGCTGCTTCTTCTTTGCGAGTTTTGGGGCTGACCTTGCTTGCTGCCAGCTGGCTGTTTTCCTGCTTACAGCCCTCAACAGGAAAAATGAAGGTCCCGGGCACTTACCCAGTTTTGAGGCTGACCTGCCTTGCTTGGCATTCAGAACCGGCGTTCGCCTCCCTTCGGCTCACGTGGCAGCATCGCGCAAGCGCAACTGAGAAGCATCAAAAGCAGTCCAGCTAGCAACATAGATTCGAAGTCAGAAGGAACGGCTTGCAAAAATGTTTGGCAATGGGGAAAGGGCATCTCTCTTGGCCAAGCGCAGGTTTGAATCCTTGTGGAGCACGCAAGCAATGTCGAGCCTTAAACATGTCCATTTTTCTCGATAAACAAACAAATCGTGACGTTCGGCTGATTGATGTGCGCGGGATACTGAGCTGCTTTTTGGAAGCCAGTGCCGCGCTTCTTGGTCAAGTGCAGGTTTGCATCGACAGCGGAGACAAACTTCGCTGTCGGACTTCTGGCGGGGACAAGGTGTAAAAAGCGGTTTCTTGACATGATTTCCTGTTCGAGTGCAGGTGGACAAGTGGCAGATGAGGAGGATTCTGTTGATTCTGTGGCTGATGAAGGTGTTGACGATGATGATGATGATGATGATGATGATGATGGTAATGAGGGTCAGGATGACGAGGATGAGGAGGATGATGATGAGGAGAAGGAGGGCGATGATGAGTGTGATGGTGATGAGCCACAGAGAAGTCGACGGTTTCGTTGACAGTTTTGCTCCGAGTCAACAAACCCTTGGAATGGAGAAGGGGCGCGGCTCCACTAGGCATGTTACCAGCGAAGCAACTAGAGGGCTTGCGCGGGTCAGCCACCATCTTAGCCAAAAAAGAATATGAAGCGGGGGGAGGGACGCAGGAGCGCGGCAGGAAAGACCTCCAGCGAATGACACCAGCAAGTTGCGCAAGCAAGCTTCGTTAGCAAGTAGCACTAGCGAGTTGCACTAGCAAAATGCCACTAGCAAAATGGCGCAAGCCAGTAGCACGAGCAAGATAGCGCTAGCGAGATGCACGAGCCAGTAGCGCTAGCCAGTGGCACTAGCAAGTAGCACCAGCAAGTGGCGCTAGCAAGTTGCAGTAGTGAGTTGCACTGGGAAGTTGCAGTGTGTTGCGGCGCGCGCTGCGCGCGGAGGGCTTGCTCGGACAGCTTGCTCATTGAAACTTGTTCAGAGAAACTTGCTCTGAGAACTTGCTCAGATCGTTTGTGCCACAAACTTGCTTGGAGAACTTGCTCAAAGGAACTCGCGCCAACAACTTGCTCAGAGGAACTTGCTCAGAGAACTTGCTAGGATTACTTGGCGCCACGCACTGCTCATGCTTTCGGGCCACCCATCTTCTAGTTTCCTCTTGGTAGCATCACTGTAGTTCGAGCACCCTTTCTTGTTGGCAGTGCTGTTGTAAACCTCGCCTTCTATCCTGTTGCCAGTATTTAGCACCTTCTCCTGGATAGCCATGTGGCCCGGCCAAAACCATATCCAGTCCTACGCTTCGCTAGCTGGTCCTGCGACGCTTTTTCCTCTTTGCAACCTATGTAATCCAGTCCCACTGACAAACGCATTTTGCTGAAGCATTTCACACCTTCGTGATGCCAAGGTCGCAGCTTTGACGTATCTTGTTGCCTCCTGGTGGGACGTCGTAAGGTGCCATTATCATTCTCTGAGGCGCTAGCTTCCCTGCAGTCTCTGGACCCATGAAACACGAAAGGGGTTCAACGTGAGCTGTGTTGCATGGCGCTTGTGCTAGCCTTCCGCAGTGAGTATTTTTGGAAATCCGAGCAATTCCATTTCATTCTCGCAATCAACGTTCTTATCCGAGATCTCGACTTGAATTTGGCTTGGCAGCTCTGGGCGAGACTCTGATTTACTTGCTCGCAGAGTACGTGGCTTGTCGGGAACCAATCTGGAGGGATGTGCTGATAGCATCAAGACCATCGCTCACCGAAGCAACACGTGCTAAAGACATGGCCCATCCATTTCTTCTTTGACGACACAGCTTCGCCTCCACTACGCCTTGAACATCGATTCCGACCCGTTCTCGCAAAAGGTTTCGGTGCTGCTGGACACTCTGCGTGCGTGGCAAACTCCCCAGCAACATTACGGAATGGCGGCTCTGGCGCTCAATGTGGTTGTAATTGCAACACACGGTCATGGCCATGTTTCGACACATGTTCGGTGGCTGTATAATCTAATAATAGTTGCTAACGCCGCAGTCTATGCAAGTTCTCTCTTGCTTTGCTTGTGGCAAGACCTTTAAGCCTTTAGCCGAGCTCGAGAAGAAGATATGTGCCCAGTCTCGGCCGCAAGCTGATGATACTGATGCGCAAGTTTCAGCAGAGTAGCGAGACGGCCACCAAATGCTGCGGTGATGGGAAAAGTGCATTGAGTGTCCGTACTACGGAAGTTCCTTCAAAACTTCCTTTGATTAATGCCAGGTGTTAGGTTGATTCACCACGAATCCCTGGGGCCTTCACTCTCGAACATGGCATTGACATGGCATTTTCCTCCTCGAAGTCGATGAACAAGATCGATGCTTTTTCCCGGCGTCAAGGAGATGGATGGACCCGATGTGTCCTCTTCCCAAAAAAGGGGACTTCCTACAGGGACATACATAGACTGATTGTAACTATGTGTTGCTCACATAAGCTACTCAATTTCGCACCTTACATGAAGGAGACAAGCCTTTTTTTGGTCATACAGACATGTCATGTTTTTTTGCTGTTTGCATTCTTTCTTGAGATGGCTCTACTGCCTGCTCGCCTACAGTAGAGCTCCGATGGCTCCGAAGCTTCATGAATCGAGCTAGGTGGCTTGTCGGACATGGCAAAGCGCCTGGCGGGCCAAAGATGGGCAACAAAGATGGGAAGTGGTTGGACGCCGGCCTGGAGAGCAAGTGACTTGGGAACCTTTTGTGGACATCCGAAAACATACTGGGTTTATCCCGAGTCGCGAGGTGTCGAGAGTGTTCCAACCAGTAAGTCAACCGTTTGCAGACACAATTCCTTGCGGGGCCATGGGAAAGCTTGGGAGAATGAGGAAGAGGCTTCCAAGTTGGGGCCAAAGCCGTCACCCTGCAACAATGGAGTGTCATATTGGTTTCCATCAAAGGCCATGCCAACCTTTACGGCAAAAACACTTCTTCTTCCCGGATTCACACGCTTGTTTGCTGGTGCGAAATCGGCAGGGAATGAGAAATGGAATGACCCTTACAAAACTAATCCAACTGGTTTCCTTTCTTGACCAAAGCCGTTCATTTCCTTTCTTCGGGGACCAAAGCCGTTCATTTCCTTTCTTCGGAGACCAAAGCCGTTCACTTCCTTTACTCGGGGACCAAAGCAGTTCATTCCACCACATTCCCCACTTCTCGCGCCGATCGCACGTGGTTTTCTCGGCCTCCAACCCAGGGCGCGGGGCGAGGCGGTGTCCCGGCCACTGGGCACCGGCGTGGGGGCCCAGTGCTTGGTCCCATTTTTGTCCTTCGGCTTTGGGAAACGCTGACAGGGTTTTGGTTGGGAGTTCCCTACCTAAAATAGACGTCCCGAAAAAAGGGTACCCGTATTCTAACCTCTCTACTGGAGGACCTAGTCAGGTTGCTGTTGCGGCACAGAAGGAACACCATTCCATTTTCTGGGTGTTACAATGGTCGTGTCCTTTTTTGGGGCACTTTTGGTTGGGTTTTACAGGGACACCAAAAGGACAACCGACACCATGTCGGGGATTCCCCCCCGCCCAATTTTTAGACAAGCCCAAAGGGATGCAGACAAGCCCAGATGAGGTGCGGAATGCAACGAGCCAATGAGCCAATTATTGGTTCATGTTGCTTTTTCAGGGAGTTCGCAACTGGTACCCTGAACCAGTATGTAACAAAAACAGTAGACAAACGGTCCGTTTGCGAGGACATGGACTCTCCAATGTTTCTAGAATACCCCATGTCCATAGAGGTAGCAAATTTTGA